TTGCGCAACCTGGGTATTTTTATTTGATCGCTTATAACTTACGTAGTTTTGCATCGATTTTCTTCGATGATACCTTATTTTTTTTGTAATATAACAGAGCTTAGGGAGAAAAAAAAAATCTGCAAAAAAATAAAAGGTTTTCGAGATCCTTCCCCGCAAAGTACAATTTTTTTTATATTTTTACAAAAAAAATTGAAAAAATCGGTAATGATTGTTCGTTATCTTTGAATCTACAGGGCCTAGCAAAAAGTGTTGTATGCACAGCTTATAGAATTTTATTACCTTTTAAAAGCTTCAACCCTTTTTGGAATTGCTTAATTCGTTCTTGAGATATATATGATTAAGTGGACCCAATTTTTGATTTTTTTGCAAAAACGGTAAATTGCAAATATCTCAAAAACGGTACCATAAAATTAAAAATAACCTTGATTTTCGGAATCAGGGGGTGATTTTACATACGAATTTCATAACGGCGTCTCTGATAAATTTTGTCCGTCGACCAGTGCAATCAAACAACCGTCAAAGTTAACTCCAAATGTTCAATGTGGACGATTGTGTTTTCCAAAAAGCTCTTTTTCATTTAACAAGTTAAATGGGGCCAGTTTGAACGTCATATTACAGTTCTAAACAAAAAACTTCTGTTAAATTTCTTTGTTTTGTATGGGCATTAGCTTGAAAGTAATGTCATAAAAACCACTTCATATTAACAAAAAAAAGTGAAATAGCGGTATACAAATGCAATTTTTAAGCAATGTATTAAAAATCAATTGTATGCAAGCGGAAATACATCGCTTTTTCTTTTCAAGCAATTGAGGCTTTTGTGAGCTGTTATAAACTGCTCCAAAAAATGGTGGCATCACTATGTGACGTTTGACGCTTGCTGTCGTGCGCGGTAAATGTCAAGGTAAATATTTTTTAGCTACAAGAAATAAACTAATTTTGCTAAAGGTGATTGTAGTAATATCGTATAAAAGTTCATAATTCAAAGTTTGGTGTATAAGTGCTAAAATACTTTCTGCAAATCGTTCATCCACAAATATATTTATCGAGTTATGGTGTCCTCAATACCAGACAGGTGAGCATCCATCCAAAGGCCTTTCATGGGGGCGAAAAGGTTAAATAAAAGACTATTATTCGTTTTATTAATAATTTTCCATAGATGGCTGAGCTATAAACCAGTCGGAAAACAGATCGAGGGAACACGCTTCATTGCCTTTAAAGTGCCGCTGCGTGAGGTGAGTCTTTAAAGCATAACCCTTAATAGCATTTTATATTAAAGGTGTATAACAGGCGTCCTTAGTAGCTAGTTCATCAACTATTGCACTTGACCCTGCAAAAGTTGAGAACTTTTTCGTTGTATTTGTCAAAATCTACCTTCATCAATTAAGCAAGAAACTTACATGATAAACCGGTTCTGAAATTGTAAAAGCCCCATCCTTGCTACATGTATTTAGTACATACCTCTAAGGTTCAGTTAATTTATTCACTCATGAAATACATGCCGTAGCATACACCAACTCCGCGTTCATATGTACCATAAAACACTATAGGGATCCCACAGTACCCCACGAGTGTTTCAATCAAAATAAACTAAGGTAAATTAATTTTATGCGTTGAATTGTTTGTAATTATGCACAAAAGTGGCAACTGGCATGTTTTACCGAAAGAATAACTTAAGAGCGATGCAAAGCAAGCATACCTCATGCAGTAGGTCAGCGGACCACACGCCTACTGGCTGCTCAGTACCAATTCGCCTGGTGCCGGAACAAGGAGTTGAAGCGCCAGTTCATATTAAAACTCAAGGAAAATATGAATATGAAATTAAATTGTTTTGCTTAATTAAATAACAGCAACTACTAAAGGTGACAGCGTTGGCATTGTCGGTGGTCATCTTATGCTCATGTTACCTGCAAGCCTTTCCTGTTGTCCCATTGTAATTTACTCAATTCCTTGTTTACACAACTTCAGTTTTCAGCATCATGCGTTTACTAAAGGCTCTGTTCAATTTCTTTGTGGCGGCTTAAAGTTAAATTTATATTAATTATACCACAGAAATTCGCTCGCAGGCACAACATGTCGCACCGCAAATACCGAGACGTACGCATACAATGTAAATATTTTATGAAAACTGTGGATATTTATTCATACGTATGCCGAAGAGCTTTCTGCACTTTGGCGACTCCTTTTTATTTACTTATCGTTAATTAAGCAATTTATTTTGTTGGACATTTGGGGTGGTCGTTTTGTCGTATGGCTCGAGGCTCCACGTTGGTATTTTTCAATTTACGCCTTACATCAATAAAACGAGTTCATTTTCAAAACTTGAGTATATTCAAGATATTAACGCGAGTTGTTGCATAAAGCTTATTACTTCTATAAAAAAAGATTTTCAGATGACCGAAACATTTTTAAATCGAAAAGGAAATCGAAATGATAACTCATCGAATTATAGTTTACAAGCGTAGTTGACAAGTCTCCATATCGCTAGCTTAGAAAGAAAAGTTGCTAAGTCCACTTTTATATATAACCATATTTTTGAATAGGAATGCATCGTTTCGAAAAGGATTTAGGTAGATGCTTGCTTTATTATTTCTTGTTTATTTTCAACGAAAGGCAGATTTGCTAAGTCCAGAAAAAAGACGCTCAGAAAATCCAACAAAACCAAAATATTACTAAATCCTTTTTTGCTTTGATTTAAACCCGCAAAATGGGATTTGCAATATTCTGGAAGAAAATGGCTCAGATTCCTTTCCTGTAACATAAAAAAAATGGTCTTATCAACTTTGCACTCGTAAGTTAGCGATTTGTTCGTTGCCACGACGGACCGTACGACGTAACGGGATTCATATCTGGCCAAGGACTGTCACTACAACGTCATTCCCCAAAAAGTCTTCGGATAGTTTGTACGCTGTTACAACAAGGTTAAGAACTGTCTCTTCAGCATTATTCTCCCAAAATCTCTTGGGAATTTGTATGTATATTAGAGAAAATTAGTTGTTTCATTTAATTGAATTTTATCATTTGATCTATTTAATAGCGTGTTAACGAAAACGTGAATGAAGAACACCGACTCGATGCCAATATTTTATTGAAGACGGTTCCCAATTTGGGGATGATTATTGATTTGACGAATACCACCCGGTATTATAATCCACATGTAAGGAGCACACATATTTTATACTTTTAATATGCTGCATAGTCAAAAAAAAATATTTTTCCTTTGCAGAATTTCAAAGATAAGGGTTTAGAGTACATTAAATTAATGATTCCTGGACATGATACGCCCTCACCGCGCATGATTAACCAGTAAGTTTTGAAAAGTATTTCCGGTATGAGGACGATTGTTAATAAATTCTTCTATTTACAGATTCAAAACTCTGGCGATGACTTTTTTAAACAATAACTCTGATAATGGTTAGTATAACAAGATGTCGGCCACCTATAGCGCCTTAGTTAAGAAACTAATTCATATCGTCGTTTAAAGTACAAAACCGCGTATCGTCATTCTGCAAAACCGCGTAACTGGCATTAGCTGCCAAGAATTGGATTTGCTCACACAAGCTCTTGGCTCAATCCTTATCCATTCGTCCTGATATATACTGGCTAGGTATGCGATTGTTTTATAAAAAAGAGAACCATTTTGAAATATGGGTGTTTTTACTCTCTAGAAGATAATTTACATACGCGGTTTTGCATTATCCTGATACGCGGTTTTGCATTTTGTTGATACGCGGTTTTGTACTTTAAACGACGATATAGTTTTCCTACGTAGTGGAACGTATTGTATTTGCCATTAGCAGAGTTTTCATTCTTTAATCAAAAGGCCTTAGGTGATGTTTGCTTGCTTAAAAAAAAAAGAAGCTTTTTGCTGATGCTGATTTCCCGCATTAAAAGTTCCCTACTACTGCTTAAACAATTTGTATATGTAGTATGTGTACTTAAAATACTATATACATAGGTAAATTTATCAACGCATGCATCTAAAACTCGCCGACAGTAAAACCAAAAGTCACGTGTTTATGCCAATTACGGGCCCATTGCAAGTGCACCCTCCTTTATTTGTACATCTGTTTATGTACTCTCATACCACCAGCAGCAGCCTGTCTTCATACTGTCATTTCGTGTCAGCTTCCTACGCGATTAAGACTACCTATAACCAATTAACCTAGACTTCTGCGACGTCAAACAAGACTCGACAACTAGTTTTTCAAATGGCTACTAGAAGAACGATAAGATTCCGACTTTGCAACTTGCTTTGAAGTTCTCACGTTTGCAGTGACAATAAAATTAAGTGCGTGCCTTTCGCTTAAGTTCAAGGCATCGTATTTTGTAGTGGTAATTCAAGGCGGTTTAACTTGCAATAATTTTTAATAATTTAGTTCTTTAAAAGCTCATAATGCGTCCGCAATTTTCGTTTGTCGGCATCATTGGATAACAGCTCTCGGTCCCCTCTAAAATATTTTTTTTTTTTTTTTTTATTTAGCAAAAGAACAATTTGTGCGGCAATCAATAAATTTCGCGCATAAAACAAACCTAGACAAAAAATGCACACACAAATTAATATTGCAAACATAACGTTTTCAACAAGTAAAGCACAAATAACAACAAATCAATATTTGCGGTGGTCTTGCCATCAACACAGAACAACGAAAATACAATAGCAGACAAAAAGCAATGACGTCTGAAGGGGCGGCAAGTGAGGGCACAACAGCAGCAGCGGAGGTGGCAACCGTGGCCTGCGTTCGTTGGAGCTTACTTCCTTTTGACGCTGCGCATTGGTTGGATGTTCAAGCTATGGAAACATGACGAATCTCATGTAAGCTACGCATGCGTATAGCACTCACTCCTTTTAGCTGCACAAATGCTGCTGTTGCGCTGACATGTTTTTCAAAATTTATTGCCCATGTTAAACAGTGTGTGTATATGTGTGCTGGTTGTTGTGCCGCGCTATGGTTGCTTCTGCTGCTGCTGTTGCTTTAGAAGCTGTCTCTTACCATTGCAGCCGTTGCATCTTTGGTTTTCAACACGTTTTTATTGTTGCTGTCTCTTGAAATTATCCCATGGCTACGCAGTCGGCTGTGTTCGCAGCCACTCCATCGGCATCGTCTTTGGCCATACTCATTCTTCTGCACCGATCATCGTTTCATTTGAAGCTCAACGTGTGGGTGTTGACATATTTTTGCGGTTGGCTTTTGTAAATTAAATTTTTGCGGTCGATTTCTTTCACTCACTTCTATATTTCGTTGCATTCTGCGGGCTTTGTGGGTCGCCAATGGCTTTGACTGTATATAATTTTTTACTTGCTGCTATTTAAATTGGTTATTGTGTGTGTGTTGTTTGGCCGACAACAAATAGTTCTGGAAATGAGTCAAGTTCTACATTTTTTGATAGCATCCTTTTTAAATAATTTGCACGTTTGGTCTATGTCACTCACATAGGAATGCTGTGGAAGAAGTTTATGTACTTAACGAATTTTTTATAAGATAGAGGGAACATTCTGCTAAAAATTTTAATATGCATGCTAGTTAAGACTTTGCTGTTCCCCATAGCTGTTAATTTGTTTGTGTTCTCTTTTAGATAAACTGATTGGTGTTCATTGTACGCATGGAGTCAATCGCACTGGGTTCCTAATATGTAACTACATGATCTCTGAGTTAGATATGAAGCCTGAAGAGGCGATAGACAGTAAGTGATTTTATCTAATTTTACATCACACACTCTTCATAAACGGGCTGTCACTTAATCCATCGTGAAATCTGAAAAAATGCGCTCACTAAATACGAATTGCTACGAACCTAAGCTATATGCTTCGTTCATAGCTTTCGAATTAAGTGATAAGTGTTTTCGAAGATTTCACTTAAAATCGAACTAGATGGATTCGTTGAAAGCCCTGATTCGCCCATAATATACTTGTCCTCCGATTTGATTTCTGCATCAAGATATACACATATGTATAAATATCTTCTTAATTCTAAGTGAGAATTGATTTCACGAAAAGTCTTTTTGGTTCAGAAATATTTTCCCCCTTTTGCTCAACAAAAAAATAAAAATAAAAATGTAATATTTTACTCGCACCTCATCGCGGCAACGTTGGAAATTCCACTAAAAATCTTTTCATAAAAATCTTTCGTATTTTCCCGGTATTAGAATTCGCTGCTGCGCGTGGCCATAAAATCGAGCGCAGAAACTATTTAGTCTCCCTAAATCATTTAAAGAATGCGATCAAAAGTGACAACAGTGGCAGTCCGAAAAATGACTTCAAGGATGATTTGATCGATAACAACAAGCGAGCCATACGTTCCAATCAAACTCACAGCAAAGAGATTTCATCGTTGCATTCACCTGCTCCAGAATCAGCATTACCGCCCTCAACAGAGGAGTTCGATAGGCGTGATCGATATGAGCGTTTTCGACAGGAATCGAATATGCAACGTCAGCGTCACACGAGTGCTGCCGTAACTGCAGCCGCACAATCTGAACAACAATATATGGATAATAACTTTAACAGCGCACAGGGCAATAGCTCGAACTATAACAGGAGATATGTGAATACTAGTCGTAACTGTTCGCAAGGTAATTTAATAAGGGATCTGTAGCGCGCCATTATCTCGCCTCATACATATGCTTTAAATTATCAATTATAGGTGGCGCAAATTATCCATACCATAATAATCATAACAGCTACGCGATGCACTCGAATAATAGTCATTCGCGTGCGCCTGATAGTCGCCGGTATGAGGAAGAGCCAAGTCGTATGCGAAATGAACATGTACCAAGCAGTAGCGATCGTTATAGTGGCGAACGCAGGCACGACAGACATCGATCTCATCCATATCGGCGCGTATAGCATATGATTAGACTAATATTTGCTTTAATTTTTTTAATTTTGAGTATATTTAATATTTTTTCTCACCTTTACTAATTAGACAAGTACAATTGTGGATGGTATGTTTCAATTATGTTCACTTGCTAATATTTGTGCCAAAATATTACAAGATACTGCCTACCGCTCCAAAATAGTAAATTTGGTTCTGCTTCCGCATTTGAACCATAGCAGTTGGTACATTTAATGGTTCCCAGCAAAATAATTTGGCTGAATTCAGTGTCCCTCGTTCTGAGATTTTAAGAAAAAGCAATTGCTTAGTTTCTATTCGTACGGCC